GTAAGCCTCTTTGAAGCCAAGAATGAGTCGGTGTTTTGATCACTCCAGAACTGCTTTATTTTTCTTGAACAGATAGATAGTGTTCATTTTCTCTCTTTCGACAGATCGACATCGTTGGAACGAACTCAAAAGGAAATTCAATGTCACAGGAATTCCATGCTTGATTGTTCTGTCTTCATCAGGGCAAGTTCTTACTTCAAAAGGTGTCCAAGAAATATACAATTACAGCACCGACTCTATCAGGCAATGGTCCAGAGGCAAGTATTACTCGCTTTTTGTACATCAAACGAAGGAGAATATGTGTGAAATGGTATTCTGTGAGGATCTCCGCGTATTATCCGTTGCTTCTGCCCCCGTTATATACGTAAGCGGAAAGATAATTAGTAAAATCCCTGATTTGTATAGGGCTAGAGAACTCACTTAATTTGAATACAATTCCTACCAGATGCTTGACTATTTGTAATATAATGATACGCGATCGTTACACATGTTCGTAAATCAGTTTATTGGAGATATATTCATGTATGCCGTTAATTAATAACGACGATAATAATAATAAGTAATTATAACATACACACACACATCGTTTCCTAATATTACACACACTGAAAAAAATATTCGCACAGTAATGAACCCGTCAAAAGGGTATAATAGTCTCACATATACCCTTTAAGGGTTTATTCTGTGTAATAAACGCTTCCATAAACCTTTTAGATTGATAAACCCTCAAAGCATATTTCATACGTTGCAATTTTATGAACCCATTAGGGTTTATCACTGTTGATACACCCTTTAAAAGTTTGTCAATTTCATGAACGCTTCTGAAGAGTACAATAATAAATTGGGTTTTAAAAGGTTTATGAAATTAATGAACTTTTAAAGGGTACATCAGCAGTGATAAACCCTAATGGGTTTATAAAATTGCAACGTATGAAATATGCTTTGAGGGTTTATCAGTCTAAAAGGTTTATGGAAGCGTTTATTACACAGAATAAACCCTTAAAGGGTATATGTGAGACTGTTATACCCTTTTGACGGGTTCATTACTATACGCATATTTTTTTCAGTGTAGCGTCAAGGCCCACATTTCCTTTGTAGTTTTATCATAGTATAATGGAATGAAATGAAAAACTTAGAGAGAGTAAATCTAGAATTGATAAATACTCATATTATCGTCAATGACAAAAACGTCAAAATTATCATCCGATAAAGATAAACTATCGATGTCTTTTACCATGCAACTAGGGACTTCTTGAAAATACACAGTAGTCTGTACTATGGCGTTGTAGAGTTTTAACGAGCTTTGTATGAATTAGCATACATGCCGTTGTCACAACGTGCAGTAGAACCAAACACAAATAGGCTACTTTTTTCTGGTTCAGTACAATAGTAAAAATAGTACGGTCTCAACTAAAAATATCGTAGAATAATAAATGCTGAAATATTTGAAAGGACACTTGGATATCTTAAACCTCAAAATGGTTAATTATATAGATTTATGAGACTCCGCTACTTTCATAACTATTTGAGAAATGTAAAATAAATGTTTGGTTCTAAAGATATACTTACCGTTAGATTTTTTAATTAGGGGTGGGTGTGGATGTGGATGTGGTTGTGGATGTATGGATGTATGGATGTAGGGCTTTGGGATATTGGTGGGTTTGGCGTCTGTGTAGAAGGAAACGAAAATTTGCACATCCACACCCTTTATTCAAGTCTCATTTGCATGTTTAACAATGCTCATGCCCATGACGCTAGATAAATAATCGACAACTAACGTGTCTGAGTGCTTATAAATGGTTGCATTCTTCTCTTAAATTTTTACAACAATAAAGAGAAATTATTATTATTGCGAGAAAGTGAGATTGAATCAAGGAATCGCGATAGTCAGTCTATGACAAAAATAATCAAGTTTTCGACTGTCAGATACAGTAAAAAGCAATGATTTCTTTGTTTACTCATTATATTGTCCCCATAGTTGAACGAAGAAAATTTTGCGATAGAAAACGTTTTCCACTTTTAAATAAGTTGCATTTATCTTGTCTTTTTTCTTTGACAACGTCATCCGCATCATATATTCTGCTACAATCTGTCATCACCAGAAACATATATTCTTCAATAAATCACCATGTCAAGGCATGAATATCAAATGTGATAGAAAAACTGATGTGTTGACACGTGAGAAATGTTCTTCAGTGATATCTAAGAGTTGAAATATATCAGAATAAATCAAATCTAAAGAACCATACAAAAAACGTCAATGATCAATTCACCTAAAATTGTTCAATTCTAATATGGAAACGTTTCTTGAGGATAGCATTAAAAACGACCGATTGGTACTGTAGAATTCGTTGCAAAATTGTCATGCAGTCAGTAGAAATATCTTCAACTTCAGTTATCTGTTATCTTCAGATGATATAATTTTTTTGAGTATCGCCTGAAGAAAAACCAGAAAATAGATTTCGAATGGAACGATAGTTTGCTATGAAATCATTAAATACTACCGGTAAAATCAAAAACTCCGCCATGGCCGGTCCCAAGCCCGGATGAGAAAGGAGGAGGGTTAGGCGTCGGGCTAGCAACTCGACCCTGGAAAAACATAAACCGCTAACGAAACAACAAGTGAAATTCAACAAAATAAACCAAACCGGCATACGGACACCAGCTCATCTTACATGACGGTACTGGATGAAAGCCGCAAGGAAGTCCAGTTCCTGACACAGAGCAGGATTCTGAATGCCAAAACCATCACAAACATTGGAACTTGGAATGTACAAACACTCTACCAATGTGGCAAATTAGCTCAACTACTCAAGGAATTCAGCACATACAAAATGGACATCTTAGGCATCAGTGAAATGAGATGGACAAGAAATGGGAAGATATGCAGTGAAGACAAAACCATCTTATATTCTGGACACGAAGATCAACACATACGTGGCGTTGGTATGATATTAAGCAAGACAGCATCACAAGCCTTAATTGGATGGAAGCCAGTGAACGAACGGATCATCACGGTAAGATTTCAATCGAAACATACCAAGACAACTATCATTCAAGTGTATGCTCCAACTGAAGATGCAGATGAAGATGACAAAGACAAATTTTATGACCAATTACAAGACACGATCGATGACATCCCTAGTCATGATGTCAAACTACTAATCGGCGACATGAACGCACAAATAAGCAACAATAGACAAGGCATCGAACATGTGATTGGTCCACATGCAACAGCATGCAAAACAAATGATAATGGAGAACGACTTATTCTATTCTGCAGTATGAACAACTTATGTATTGGAAATACTTACTTCGCACATAAAAACATCCACAAAAAAACATGGCGATCACCAGATGGACACACAAAAAATGAAATTGATTATATATGCATCAGCAAACGTTGGCGTTCGACAATACAAGATGTGAGAGCGTACAGAGGAGCTGACGTTGGAACAGATCATCATCTTGTAAGAGCCTCGCTAAGACTTCGACTCAAAAGACAAAATGAACGAACAACAGTTCGACCATACGCGATCGAAAAACTGAAAGATCCTAACACTGTCACACAATACCAAATAACAATCCAAAACAGATTTGAACAACTACAATACATCACCGACGTTAATGAATACTGGAAGCAATTCAAACAAGCAGTGACCGAAAGTGCTGAAGAGACGATCGGTAGAAGAAGAGGAACGCAAAAAGAACGATGGATACAAAACAGCACCTGGCAAGTGATTGACGAACGGAAGATGACAAAAATCCAACGAGACCAAGCAACAACACCAGATGAACAACAAGCCGCTGCAGCCAAGTATAAATCACTAGACCGTAAAGTCAAACGAAACTGTAGAGCCGACAAAAAAGAATGGCTAAAACAAAAAGGAGATGCAGCACAAGAAGCGGCAAACAGGAACGATGCCAAAACCTTATATCGAATTGTCAGAGAATTGACAGGATCAAGAAGCAATTCTAATACTCCAATCAAGGACAAGAATGGCAAAGCTCTACTAACAAAAGAAGAACAAGATGCACGCTGGATTGAGTATTTCAAAGAAACATTGAACCAGCCAAATCCAACTACAACCTTCGACTTCAGTACCTTCACCACCATCAACGAAATAGAGGCAAATCTTGGTACCATTGAAGAAACAGAAACCAGAAAAGCGATAAAGACGCTGAAGAACAACAAAGCCGCTGGACTAGACGAAATATCAGCAGAATTGGTGAAACATGGTGGAACCAAAATGGTACAAGAAATTACAAAGCTACTGAACATATGCTGGCAAACTACAAGTGTCCCTGACGAGTGGCGGAAAGGAATGATTGTCAAGATACCAAAGAAAGGCAACATCGCCGAATGCAACAACTGGAGAGGTATCACGCTTCTTTCAATCCCCGGCAAAATATTTTGCATTGTACTCCTTAACCGAATAAAAGACGCAGTAAATAAAGCTTTACGAGAAGAACAAGCCGGATTTCGTAATGGGCGGTCATGCAACGAACAAATCTTCACAATTCGCAACATCATCGAACAAAGTATTGAATTCCAACGACCACTATTAATCAATTTCATCGATTTCAAAAAAGCATTTGATAGCATACACAGAGAATCGCTGTGGAAAATTGCCAGAACATATGGTATCCCCGAACCCTTCATCAACATCTTTCGCAACATTTATCTGAACTCCAGCTGCTGTGTGAAGACAGATATTGGCAATACCGAATTCTTTGACATTATCACTGGTGTACGACAAGGCTGTATTCTGTCGCCATTCCTGTTCCTTTTGGCAATCGACTTTGTTATGCGGGAAGCAATGAACGATCCGGATCTTGGTATTAAATGGAACAATAAATCCTGTCTCACAGATCTCGACTTTGCAGACGACATCGCACTATTGGCCAACACAAAAGAAAATCTACAAAAAATGACCACCAAGTTAGAAGCAACAGCCAGCAACGTTGGACTAAGGATCAATAGTGAAAAAACTAAAGTCATGCAGGTCGGCAACGCGAATACAAGCACAGGAATAACAGTCGGATGTCAACCCATTGAAGAAGTAAAACAATTTACATATCTTGGTAGTGTACTATCAAATGATGGCAACACTGAAGCAGATGTCAACTGCAGAATCGGCAAAGCATCAGGTGTGTTCCAACGACTACGCCAAGTTTGGTCAACAACAACAATCAACACCAAAACCAAAATTCGACTTTATAACACTATTGTTCTCCCTACTGCAATTTATGCCAGTGAAACATGGAAAATCACGATGCGAATAGCGCGAAAACTGAACGTATTCCACCAGAGATGCCTACGCAGAATCCTTGGAATTACCTACCTCGATCATATTACAAACGACGAGATCCTTCGCCGATGTAATTCGCGAAAACTACAAGACATCGTAACAGAGCGCAGAGTGCGATTTGCTGGGCACATACTGCGCTTACCGGAACAACGTCATTCCAGAACTGCAATAAAATGGACGCCTCTTGAGGGAAAACGAAAGAAAGGAAGACCCGTTAAAACATGGCGTGCAACATTCAAAGAAGATCTACAGGATATTGGCACCAAATGGGAAGAAGTCGAGAGCGTCGCGTCAAACCGTGAACGTTGGAGAACACTTGTTGCCCAATGTGCCAAGTCGCACAGGAGGAACTAAGAACTAAGGTAAAATCAAAAATCAACCAGATGACAACTAATTCTCAATGCGTTTAAATACGATTTTCTTGACTTCGAAAACGAGACGGCAATACCCAAAAGGGCTGTGGAATATGAAATATGAGAACGAACAAGGAAACAGAAACGAAGAAGCAGCTGTTCCTAAAGGACTAGTGTAATGTGTGAGTATGAATTAAGAGACGACCCACAACTTATGTAACTATCATATTAAGTCATTCCTATGATTATTTGACGAGTCTTAGAATACTTTGAGCCTCAATTGTATGTTTATGTCTTTCTCATGTCAAGAAAAAGATCAGTTTTATTTATGCAATGAAGATTTAAGTATTAAGAATAAGTCTTTTCAAGAAGAGTTCCACAAGCATTATACGTAGTAAAAGAGTTTTTTTTATTGCCAGTTGATTATTTAGTGCATTTAGTTGATTTTAGATCTTCATACTTGGTTGAGTGGCCAACAAGTTCATCCTCATATTGACCATTTCGAGCAAAAAGAGAAAGATGAGGAGCATCATCGAATAATTTTTGCCATTGCGCCGCCAATGCCGGTGTCCATTTGAGGTTGAGCAACCATTGTTCGGTTTTTTTATAATCAAATGCTGATCTGTTTATCAAATAAATATAAAGTTTTGAGAGAATTTGATTAAACTTACGAAGAATTCATCATTTTTTGCCACCATTCTATAGAATTCATTGTGAAACATGCAGAAAAGTCGTCTACTCGAGGATAGTACGAAAAAAAGTGAAGACACATTTCATCTTTCGTTCTTTCACCACCCTAAGTAACAAGAATAATGTATCAATCAAAGAAAACACTTTCGTACCAGTGTGATCACGTTCTTGTTCATTGTGTTGTATACACATTGAGTAGCGAACTCATCTCCCTACAAAACAAAAAATATTCTAAAAGCAGATATAAACTATTTTTACGCACTGGATAAAGTTTGATTGGTCTCGTTAAACGATTCACATATTGATAATTGAAATCGTATGACTCCGCATTGAATAAATATTGAACGGCTGTTTTGTTTCGAATCAGTTTGGTCCACATACTACGACCTAGCATAGGAGAACACGCAAAACTGTGGATATCCTATTCAAAATATATTTACCTTGCAAGTGAGTGTGTGGCATGGCGGACAAGAGTGTTATGCCCGATTCAGGAAAATTCTAGAATCAAAATATTTGTGTTTGTCTTTGAGAACTCAAAAAAAATGACACCTTACACGAGTGACTTTGGCTGGACAATAAGAATCAATCACAAATCTTTCAACTAATGGTGGAATAGCAAGACCGAAAAGATTGGACATTGTACCAAAAGTGATATAGCCAAGATCGTGTTGACGAAGTTCATTACTAAGATAAAATCGAATGCCTGAACTATCACGACGATCTAAAAGTAAATCGAAACACTTAGATCTGTTCAATGGAAACCAAATTCGACCTACTTGAATGTCGCCTTGTATTTTCATAATGCATTTGAATCATGTAGTATTTAGTGAATGAAGCATCACCAACTGGATATCCCACCTCTTCAATATACTCGACCATCTATTCAATTCTTACAATGATTTACATTTTCAATGATTATTCTTACATAGTCACCACCAACTGCCCATACAGTGACAAAGTTTGTTGAACACGATTCAACTTGGCTCATAATTTCATCACATACCCCACTAGGTAAATTGTTATCATCGAAAATAGTTGAAGGAGTACATTCGTGTAGGAGTAAATGATGTACAATGTCTCGATTGCCAAAATCGACTAGTATTTTATGCTAGACAGAAGCAATTAAACTGTAGATGAAAAAATAGCTACTTTTAATTGCAACATGAAGTGTCGAGTTTAATAACTCAAAAATGTAAGTAGTTATCAACCTGTAATTTTTATGGTTTGAAAGAAACTATCAAGTCACATTGTTCTATATTAGAAAACATGCATGGATCCGTGGAAAAGTTTAAATCTGATTGTACTATTTTTATAGAAAAAAGTTAAGCTCGTTTGCTCTATTTAGTCACTTTCAAAAGAGCCTAGAACAAAACTGGCTTTCATTTTACAACATAGCCTGGGATCGAGTAATCAAGATCTTAAAAATATCGTTTTCGTACATATAAACGAAATTCTACGAAGTGTCGTGAACACGCTGTTTGGTATTTGTTTACCACCGTATATGAAGCGTTCTGTGCGATCTGGCACGTGATCGATCATGACATTTCATATCATGCTATAATCTTCTTCATCGAAGATTCTTCAAAACAACAGAGTCAATATTGAATTTGTCAATTTAATCAAGAATATCCAATACAGTAGCCAGTGGATTAACATAGATTTTTCTAAAAAAACGTTTCCTTCATTCCAAGACGGTTCGAAAGCATATTATTAAAGTGGAAGAAATGATTCAACTGCTTGTCTATAAAGTTTTTCAAACTTTTGACACTCATGAAATGTTTCGATTCGAACCGATAACCGTTGCGATAGGAGAAGACAAATCGCTGTATTGACTTCTACACTTCTGGACCATTGCTAAATCAAGCTATACGAGAATTTTTGACAAAACACTTGTCTTCAACAAATTCGACTTAGTATTTTTATTCCTTTTTATATATTTCAGATTGAACTAAACACTTTTTTTGATAAAAACAATCAGAATCAAAACATCCACAGACTCTAAAAATTTTATGCAATCTGAAAAACCGTCAATACAAGCATGACAGAGATTTGAACATAATCGACCTACTTGGATGTCTATCTTTAGGTCATGTGACTCCAGGCTGCTTTGAAAATGAGGCAAAGCTCACTACTCAGCTTTTATAATGATCAGTGAACGTATGGGTAATTTCGACGTTTCTGCAAGAATATTTATCCTTGTTAAACGAAGCAACCTAGTGAATTCGATTTTAATTTAATATCAAAAGCGCTTCATTCTCTTTCTGAAAAGTTAGATTTCGACTCTATTATAATAAATAATGAAGGCATCGTTGTCAAAATGTGCAAGACAAAATGTCCCGCGTATCAATTCATGATTTCTATTGCTTTAAACATACATCGGCGAGACCCAGAGTTCTCTTTCAGATTGTGAATTTCACGGCTTGCTAGCTATGTGTGTTATTCTTCTATTCGACTCACAATCATGCTCGCTATATTTGAAAAGGATAACCATGCTTACTGCGATTGCATGTCGTTTCATTTTATAATTGGCTGGAGCTTTGTATACTTGACAGTGGTAGGTTGTTTTGTTCGATGGGATAAGATACTTAAAAAAAAAGGTGATAAAATATATTGAATTTCAAAAGAAAAAAAGCAACCGACATTATTCAAACGAAACTCGAAGAATTCCAGTTCAGCAAATTTGTCTTCAGATGGTGGTTGACCGTAGGATAGAAGTGGAACGATACGTGAACCTCGTCGAGTTTCATGATAAGAAATGTCACTGTCTGATTGAGATAGATCCAGATCGATGAGACCATATGCAAAAATGACAACATTAGTTCCAGACTATATAAAATGCTCATATTTTTATAGTTTCGATTCTTTTAAGAAAATATATATAGAGTTTTAAAAAAAAAATTTGTTTGGCGCAAGATGCCACATGCAAAAATAATAATATTTCACGTTTCAGTGTTTATTTCGACAAAAGATTTGATTTTCGAACAAAATTTTCCTCTTACAGTCACTGTATTTATGCTAAGCGAAATCTAAGAATAAATTCAATTGAAACTGAAATATCAATGATTTGACGTAAGTGTTGAATAGTGACATATTACTTTTATTTTCTGTTGCATATATGTCTAAGTAAATTACAACTGTTGTCTAATGAAATAATTAAAACGATCATAAAATAAACAAATGCATTAATAAAACCTATTAAACTACTAGTAACAATTATGGCTGTGTGCATATAAAAAGCCTTCATCTTTTTACAATTCTATTCATCGCCACATCTACGATCTGTTCATATTCAGATTTAGGAGAAGCTGATAATAAAAGAAAGCAGGAGTGTCGTTTGTGTTTAGTTTACTTTTAGAGTTTCCTATAAATCTCGATGTATTAACTTTTCAGGAAAAATGTGCGAAGAATGGATAGAAAATGATTCAACATCAGTATACGCTTCCCGTTTCAAATTTCGAGAATTTCGAAAAAGTTTTTATTCTAAATTGCTAATGTATCATGCGCTGTGAACTGTTTCTTTGTCGAGCGTCTGAGAAGCAAATCAAAGGAATTCTAACATTAGCATGCTGTTTTTTTTTCATTTTCTTATATCTTTCTTTGTACTTGTCACATGACATTTGATTAAGAATTAAAAAGATTTTTTATTTTCAATCTCTTGAATCATAATCAAAGTTTAAGGTATTCTTGAAATTTCATCTCGACAAGTGGATTCTATATCAGCACTCTAGTCTAGTTCGAAATCATAGTTAGTCTGACTGAAATTGAAAACATTCAATCAAGGTTCGTTTTTAGCTCTTTAAATATTTATGATACTAAAATTGAATAAGTCATGCTGACAAAGTGTGAACTTAGAAGCAATTTTTTGATAAAAATAATGTAACTCATAGAAATCGATAATGAATAATGGAATTCTAAAATAGATCCGTCACTTATCATCGGTTACCATGTGGATATGAACATCAAAATTAAATCTTACTGCAAGTCAGTTTTTAATTGTTTCTTGGTGCTCATCGTCAGAAATTTGCATGGAGAGACAGACTATATTTCAACGTTTTCATGTTTTTCTTCTTTCAAGCACTTAATATTCGACCAACTGTTGATATATCATACTTTGATGGGATAGTCCATCGAGTCACACGTGTCAAGTAAACGTTTGAATTGGATGGCTGTCCATCCGTTCTGTTCACGGCCACGAATAGCAAACCAGTCTGTGGTTGTATTATCAATCATAGGTTTGGCGAAGTCACTAGCATACCGATCCTTCAAAGAATAGAGAGATAAGCATATAGAATACTGTGACAATTTGAAAAGCAATCGACATATTTTGTACTTGAAAATGAACATTGCCTTTACTGTCAACCCATCCAACGCCGATATCAGCGCCTTTCATACCACCAGCTAGATTTCATAGATTGAATAACCGACATATGAATGACAAAGTAAAATAGGAATCTACCTGGACTGATGCCTAGAGAGATCCAACCCGTAGTCTTGACATGTAATTCGAATGTGATCTCTCGTTCAGCATCATCCAATGTCCACCAAAGATCAGCTACATTGTCTTCGAGTTCAATGGAATGTTTGTATTGGATAAATGGTGAAATAGAACTTGAAATTCCATAACATCTATCGATCGTAAACAATGACAAGGATACTATAAAAGCACTCCACAGCCACATCATCTGATTCTATTAGATGACTATATGAAACAATGAAATATCAGAGATTATCTACTTATATTAATCATCGTTCGTTGAAAAATATCATTCTACTTTAAGACTTTTAAATCACACATAAACAGTTGTTGTTTTCGCGGTAATGACACACTCACTTTCAGAATATATGCATGTTTTTGTCTGTGCGCAAAAAATCTATGATTGATAGAATTATTGTGATACGTACTAGAACTAAGCATGTAAAAAAAACAGGCGAAAAATTTAATTTAAATTGATTTGTACGAAACAAACTAAATAAACCGATTAAAAGTACTATTGTCTGATTAAATTCTGAATAGCAATTGATTATAATCAAACTTTCTCTCTAAAAATTAATTAAAATCAATTTTGTTGAATAAAATCCAAATAATCAACTACGAATCAAATCGATTTACTAGACCTTAGGCTATTCAACATTAGATACCCAGAATATAGGACCATCTACGAACTAAAACTTTTCCTTTATGTCAGAAACGGTAAATCACTGGTTTTGGTCTATAACAATTGCAGCAAGCACAATGGTCAAATATACCATAATAATAGGCATATATACTATGACTGTAGTCAAGTGTATTATCATTATGGTCATTTGTACCAAGTGTTACAGACAGACAGACACAAGTGAATTTCCGTTTCTCGATACCAGCCTTACAGCCTAAGAAAAATAATCGATTAACAATCGAATCTATTTAAATTGATTCTATCTGCACAAGAATCGATTTAAGTTGATTTTACTTCCACCAGAATATATTTTCAATTGATTTAATCTGCACCAGAATCGATTAAAATTGATTCTATCTGCAAATAATCGATTAAAATTTATTCTATCTACACAAGAACTGATTAAAATCAATTATTTATGTTCCTAATCGATTTTGACTCATAAAAATATGTAATTGCGCAATCTTATTTGAAACAATTTAAATATTAGTTCGAACTTTGTTATATTCATGAGCTGAAGTTCAATGATAATTTCGAGATGAGGAATCGAAAAAATTATTAAAAACGAGAGATTCGTGTTCACATGTACAGAAAAGAGCCTGTTTCCGATATGTATGATT